CAATTATAGCTTTGAAGCCTACTTAATATGAATAAGATAATGTAGTTGATGGTAATGGCAAAACATGAGTTTGCCTAATCGACAATCCCACCAGCAAAATAGTATATTGGAGAGGCATGGCTTGCCTTGAAATTCATTTCTGCCCTTTGACCTAGGGGCGCTCGTGGCGATGTGGTGTGTCGAGATAAAACGCAGCACTATACTCGGATTCAATTCCAACTGCATCCGTCGGAATAGGAATAACTTTTGGGAAACAAGACTAAGTGAAATTTAATGGAAGCGAGATCAATTCATCTGATTGTGGGAAAAATTCATCTATCAGTCCTTAGTCACCTTATGTGACTGGAATCTTTATTCAAGGCCTACCTATTTACTTTATATGAACATAAGTTAAATTTCAAACAAGGGTTATGAGCCACAGAAAAGCCTTGATCTGCTCTGTTTTATCCTTTGCGGGAACCTGAGGCAACTAGACCATACACATCAAAAATGTGAATTTAGAAGGCTCATACACAAAGTCATTCGATCTGCTAGTTGACAGTAAGAACTAGCAGTCTATTCAGCGGTACATAAGCGTGCTTTTGTCTTTTCTCTTTTAACTTCTGTTCAGCCCCTCTTTAAAGCTCATGAAGCCTTATGCTGAGTATAGGTTGACATCTTTTCGACACGGCTCCCAATGAGGAGAGGGATAAACTCAAGTCAAATGTAGATGCGAAGAACAACTTGTTGTGGCCTTTATTTTGATCGCAATCTTCTTTCTAATGTATGGTAGTTGTTTGACCTTGTTTTCGAAACTGAGTGATATTGGCAGGAAGACGCAGAACGAACATTGTCCGAAGTCCATGGTATGCATGATAATCTCCAGTTGGACCGTGGACTTGGTACATCTCTTGTAGAATATAGACATTTCAGAATTTGTGATAGGACGAGGACGAGACAAGAAAAACTAGGACAGAACGGAGAGGGATGGCCCAACCGTTTCGACAGAAAGCTGGTCAAGGGATTGACTTCACTTGTCTCGTTGACGAGTTGTGATGAGAATGACAAGACTCATTGACGATGCCGGCGAAACGTCTGGGAATGTACTAAGTCCACGGTACGACTCTGGAGATTATCATGCATACTATGGACTCCGGACAAAGTGAGTTTCTCTGCGTCTTCTTGCCAATATGACCAAGTTGCAAAACCAAGGTCAAACAACTTCTCAAATCAACTGTGTTCGGGCAGCTACACAGGTCGGTCTTGATTGACTAGAACTGACTTGGAAGCCTTGAATAACTTGAACACACCATCAACAAAGTAGGCTGCCACACTTCTAAACTGTTGTGAAAAGACATTAAAACATGACATATGAACAGCGGCTTTCAAGCAGTGTCAAGACTGGTCTTGACCGCCTACCGGTAGACAGCTGCAGCGGCAGCTGCAACAGCAGCCATAGAGTTGGGCGAGCCGGAGCAGAGTGTGGAGCGAGATGCAACCTCATCCGGCATCAGCAACGACACAGGATCACCGCCGGTGAATCCGGCTGAAGATGTCGCCTGCAAGCCTCCTGTTGGTGGCAACGCGAGTGATGGGAGCGATGAGAGTTGTGAGAGAGGGGGCGGTAGTAGCAGTGGTTGCGGTGGTGGCAGCTGAGTGTGAGGATGCGGATGGGAATGAGGCCGGGGCGGAAGAGGTGGAGGGAAAGCAGGAGGGGGAAATTGTTTAAATGATTGTTGTTGTTGCTGCTGCTGGTGTTGATGCTGGTGTTGCAGCTGGCCCCCGGGAGCCATACAACATGCCAAACCTCCGGATGGAATTGGTATGTGTGTGGGTGTGTGCGCAGGTGTGGGTCTACCACTGCCACAATTGCTACCACCGTTAAGGCTCGAAGATGTATTGTTGCCGGCGGTGAGTGCGCCGCAACCACCGTTGCTAGCTGCAGCGGCAGCCGCTGCGGCCGCAGCACAAGAGAAGGGACTGGCCGGCGACAATGAGGAGAGCAATGAGAGAGTGGCAGCAGCGGCTGCGGCCGACGGAGTCAAGGGGGACAGGGCGGCGGCAGCGGCAGCAGCGGCCGCGACTGCAGCTACAGCGGCGGCGGCATGAGAGCCCAGCGTGAGGGGCGAAGAGGCGGCCGGGGAGGCGGGAAGTCCCATGGTGCCGGGAGATGCGCCAGTCGGCAATTGGGGTACCGAGGCAGAGTAGCCGGAGACAAGAGGGTTGGGCCCAGAGGAAGAGGAAGAGGAAGAAGAAGAGGAAGAAGAGGAAGAGGAAGATGAAGAAGAAGAGGAAGAAGAAGAGGAGGGCGAAGAAGAGAAGGACGATGCGGTCAGAGCAGAAGAGCAGGGAGAGAGATGGGCAGACGGGTTCGAGCAGCTGGCAACGACCATATGGGAAGTTGAGATGACAGTAGGGATCTTGCTGGCCACGCTGTTGGCAGTTTCACTGGGTGATATGTTGTCGCTTGCAAGCAGCGAGATTGCGGATGTGCCAGACGCCTGTCCAGAATCCTCCGAAGAGGCGACATCTCGACTGGAGACTGAAGGCAATTGAGGCAATGATGCCTGACTAGTTGGCGTTCCTCCAGAAGAGGCACCGGAAGAAGAACTGCTGGAGGTTGTAGTGATGGTGGCGCTTCCTGACATATTAAAAGAGGAGACGGAGGAGGAAGAG